TTATTGCATATTTACTTATTTATACATTTAACCTTTTTTTCTTATAGATTGCCAGTAAATTTTTCTTTTAAAGTTAACAATTTCGTTTCAAACTAGCGCACAGGTGGCATTAGCAATTTAGCATGTAAAAGTAAAGAATAAACAGTCATTATTTAAATGTTTGGAATAAACAGTCATTCATTAAGGTTAAACCCCAACCTTGAGGGCCCCCCACCGACTCTGTCCTGAGCCATTGTGGAGGAGGTAAATCGCAGGATGTGCCTCTCAGGAGCCAGGGTGGAGAGAGAATAGAGAAGAATTGAAATAAATTTGTTGAAACATATCGATAGAAATAATTATTGGTCAAATAAAATGACTCCATCATACTAAAATTAAACTTGCTAAAGAAACCAGAAGTTTCTGGATTTACAGTTTGAACACCTAAAGGTGTATACTATACGAAATGAGAGTGGAAAAAATAAAGTCGTCACATGAAATGTATGACTTTTTACATTCTAAATTTCGCAAAAACTTGTATAAATCGATAAATTATCATGTGATGAATGTAATCACGAGTCTCTATTTCTTTAGCGTGACAATGCATGAAATTTGATATGCATGTAATAAATATGATTATAGACAATTTATCTTGTATGGTCCTAATACTATTCTTGGAAAACTTAATATGCCTGAAGCATATAATTCGAGCAATATTATCATGAGAGGGAGTGAATATGCGTTGTACTCCCTTTTCCTTTGACCAAGTTTTTGTCCCATTAAATTTTCCTAGCAAGGTTTTTAATAAAACAATTTTTATGACGAATTTAAAATAAAAATGTACTCTTTTACATTCGTTAGAGTTTTTTCCCATGGGATTTTCCTAATAAAGTTTTAACGAGGTATATTTTTTGTGTAATGAATGTCCTAAAGACGTTTACCCTCGTAATAACTCTAATATGTATGAAACTCCAAAAGAGATCAACAAGAGTTATTTTTTAGATTATCATGTTATTATAGTCAGTAATTTTTGTCCCACTGGATTTTTTTGAAGACGTTGACGTACAAGACATCAATATTATAGACATTGACACACAAGACATTGATTGATTGATACAAAAATTGAAATCATGAGAGCGTTGTACTCTTTTTCCTTAACTTAAGTTTTATCCTATTGGATTTTCTTGACAAGGTTTTAACGAGGCAAAAATTTTGTAATGTGTCATTCAAGAAGAAGTGTTATAAATGGTAAGTTTATTGGTGAATGACAACTGTACTCCTACAATCTTAAAAATTATTATCATTGTATCCATAATCTTTCACTATAAATATGGGGATTTAGTTCTCAATAAAATACACACAACTTTATTGACTTTCTCTCTTTTATTCTTTTTTTTCTCTCTAGCTTATAACAATTTTCATCTTTATTTGATGTGTGATTTATCCCTTAAACGCAGATATTTGTATGTAAGCATGAATCTTTTCTTTTAAATTTCATATATATTTTTTATCTTTGAAAATAAAATAGTTGTGTTTTCTTTTTTTCAGGAAAATTTATATTCCTAGTCTTTATTTGAAGATGGCATGGCATGATCCTTTGCTTCATCTTGGAGACAAACTGATAAATTCAAAGATCAGATATTTTGAACTTTAAGAAAATATTGTTCAATTATTGCATATTTACTTATTTATACATTTAACCTTTTTTTCTTATAGATTGCCAGTAAATTTTTCTTTTGAAGTTAACAATTTCGTTTCAAACTAGCGCACAGGTGGCATTAGCAATTTAGCATGTAAAAGTAAAGAATAAACAGTCATTATTTAAATGTTTGAGCCAACCCAACTATAACATGTTCATTAATAATATTAGGTGCCGATCCTGTGGTAGCATTTCTTGACAATTTTGGGCAAATTTAGCCCTTGTTTGAGTCTATTTTTGGTTAAAAATGAATTTTTGAATAATGATTTTTTTGAGAATGTATAGTGAAAAAATGAAAAAAAAAATCGATTTACATGTAAAATTATTTTATGAGAGAATGTGTAGTTAAAAATGAATTTTGAAAAAATGGGACCCAAACATAGGCTTAGAATAGGTGACAATGTGGAAGGAATTTCTTGTTTGAGGAATGTAAAATTTTGGCACGCAACGAAAAATAAATGGGAGGTTTACGGAAGTAAAAAGACATTGCCATTTTTATTTTGTTTTCCTTCAATAGCTTGTTCAATAAGAATGACACAATTCTAAGAAGAAAATGTACTAGTTTGATCCCCATTATATTCAAAATATATTTTTTTCTCTCTCTTATTTTCAATCACATATTATTCGATAAAATAATATTACACATAAATCCAAAATCTTTACCAGAAAACATCAACAACCGCGATAAAACATAAACCTGGAAATTTTATTCACATCATCTAGCATAACGTTCATTCTAGTTAAGTAGAATTTATCTTCTATATAGCATAGAATGAACTGAAGTCTTATCCAAAAATCAAATTCATATCAGATGATAAGTATGTTATTATCATGTAGATAACTATTATTCAATAATAGCCTAAAACGAAGGGCTATTATCTTAAACCTTGGACATAAGACCTTAAAACCATAAATTGCAACATGAAAGACAAAAAATCTCGAAGTAACTTCATTTTAATAAAAAGTGGTGTAGTAACAGCAAAAGCCCCAATCTAGAGCTAAAAAGAATTATAAAATGCAAAACTATAATTTTCAAAAGAAGAATCAGATCATCCATCTAACATGAATATAAAAGAAACACAAAAACAATACAACGAAAAAAAAAGGATAGATTTTAATTATATATACAAATTACAATTAATTTATACATACACATATATAATGGGTTAGAGATGGGAGTCCAAGATCAAAAACCCTCAATTTTGATTCAAAATACGTAAAATGGAGAATTGGAAGAAAATCATTTGGTTTAAAAAATTGTGAATGGGCATGTAAGATTTTAATGGGTCATAGGGGACCAAGGATCCGTAAGGCTTGCGAGGCTTTAATGTTGGGCCTGTGAATAATTTAAGAGGAAATTATCTAAAACCAGTTGTTCAGTTTGATCTTTTTAAAAATCGGGTCTTTATTTAATCAAAAATGTGGAAATTACATAAAATCAGGTCTTTAGTTTGATCTTTTTAAAAATTAGGTTTGGACTTTATTTTTTCATTTTTCAGGTTTTTATCATTTTAATTAAACAATTAATCTTTTAAAACCCTAATTTACCAATTCCTCACCCCTCGTCTCTCTCTCCTTACCCTCCCGTCTCTCAGAACTGCCCAGAACTCTTAAGACCCATACATCGCTAGTTGCCTCGATGGTATTCGTCGGAGATTGGTGAATGCGAAGCTGCCTTTGTGCTTGAAGTCATACTTTTCTTCTGCCTCTTTTTTTATTACTTTCAATCATCTGAGACTTGAAATTTCTTCTTTTAGAAATGGATCTTTTGAATAGAGGCTGCAATTTTTAATTCATGTTAAAGGAGTTTTGTTATGTTATGGCTTTTTTTCTTCGATATGGGCACCAAAAAATTTTACATCAAAAATTGCTTTCATTTTGTAAAACAATTTCTTTCCTTCAGTAGCAATGTTTTGTAGCTGAAAATAACAATATGTGACCAAATGAAAATAACAAATTAATTTGTTCCAGCTATCAGGTCACAGGTTGGTATATTAGGTCACAGATATCCCATACTTCACTAGAAACATTTTCCATGTATATCCAGAAGTCACAGACAACAAATATAAGTTCTTTAATAGTTCTTTAGGTTAGAGATTGGTATATCAGGTCACATATTGGTATATCAGGTCACAGATACCCCATGCTTCATTGGAAACATTTGCCATGTATATCCAGAAGTCACAGACAATAAATAAAAGTTCTTTAACAGTTCTTTAGGTCACAAGAAAAATTCTAGTGGTACACAACCCCTATGTTACCCCTATGTACCCCAAGCAAAGCTCAGGTCACAGATTGGTATATCAGGTCACATATTGGTATATCATGTCACAGATACCCCATGCTTCACTGGAAACATTTGTCTTACATATACAGTAGTCACATACAACAAATAAAAATTCTTTAACAGTTCTTTAGGTCCCATTTCCCACTTAACCCATTTTCCTTGCATTACAGCAAAAATTTCATTTGATCACAGTCATTGTTTACATATCAATTGATACATGGAACAAATTAATGGAATGTAAAAGATTATCTAAAATTGTTATGTCTACTGTCTAAGATTGACTTAATGGAACCAAGCTACAACATCTTCTACGATTGTGACCATGTCCTCCACAATTACAATGTGTATGATCGGCACCAGCAATGGAAATTGTGACCTGAACTCCAATCCACTCCAACACTACGACAGAATTGCACAGTGACCGGAGATTACCACCTCCGAACTGTGATCGGTAATGTCAAATTTACTGTAGTTAATTGTCAGCTTGAAGGAACTCCACTAGCCAGAATCTGAATTTAATATATTACAGCCGGAGAGCAGTCGTCGGAGTAGTCGCGAGTCACCGGAGTAGTCGTCGGAGCAGTGGGGGTGGTGGAGGTGGGGTGGGATGGAGAGGAGTGGGGGTTAATTATATTACAGTTAAATATTTAATTTAATATAATAATTGTGAAATATAATTAATTAATTAATGAAAAACCTGATTTTTGCAATTCTAAACCTTGNTTAATGAAAAACCTGATTTTTGCAATTCTAAATTTTGAGACCTGATTTTTGATTTTGGGATAGATAAAGTCTGAGTTGTGAATTTTTCCCATCAAAAATCAGGTTTTAATTTCACAATTAATATTAATAATGATATTTTAAATTAAATTAATCTATATACCCGCCCCTACCCTCCAAATTTCAATCACAATTCCCAAACCCTCATTTATTTTCCGTCTCTTCCCCTTCTCATTCCTCTCCTCCCCCTCCTTCCCATCTCCACAGCCTGCCGCCTCCTCAACTTCTCTTCCATTCTCCGCCACCGTTGGGGCAGCTTTACAGCGTCTGGAGGGCCTCGATTTCCCGGTAGGCCAACGGCTTTGAAAGATTAGCGAGGTGCCGCCTCCTCCACCTCCTCTTCCCCCTCCCTCCCTTATTGTCCCTGGCGTTCACAGCGTCAAGGCGCTTCTGTGAATTGTAGCAGCACCTCCACCGCCTGCCGTCTCCTCCACATCCTCCTTCCCCCTTCTCTTCCCTTCTCCCTCCCTTCTCCTCCCTGTCGTTCACAGCGTTGGGGCGCTGCTGTGAATCGTAATAGCACCTTGACGCTGCTGTCCCTAATGTCGCGATGCCAGTCAGATTATGGTTTGTGTTGTTGCAGTGTGGGCTGGAGATTGGTTGTGCGTGAGGCGTTGGTTGGGTTGGGGTAGAGGTTTAGCTGCGGCAAGAAAAAGCAAGAGATTTGGCTGCGGGTATGTGTGTATAACAGACTGGTTGTGGGTGTGTGGCGGGGTCGACGACGGTGGTAGTAGTTTTCTTGGTGTGGTGGTACAGGTGGTGATGGTGGTGTACTGGGATTGGGGGACGAGTGTTTGGGTGTATGTGACCAACTATTTCGATCTGTGACATGTGACCAAGTATTGGTGGTGTACTGGGATTGGGGGACATGTGTTTGGGTGTATATGACCAACTATATGGTCCGTGACCTTAAAATTCATTAATTTGTAACTCAAAATATAATATGTGACTAACAAATTTGGAAATATGTGATCTCTGTTATCTACAATTTTTTTAACTTGTGACCAATTAAAAATCTATGACGTATAATTTTTTTGATCAGTGACCAATGAAGTCAATTGTGACTTATAAAATTTTTAATTTGTGATTTCGAAATAATCTGTGACCACGAAATAATCTGTGACCAATTAATTTGATAAGTTATGATCGAAAATTAAATTTTTAACTACTTAATAAGATATTTGTGACCTCGAAATTGGAGCAGTTACCAGAATTAAGTGGTGGTGAACGATCACCGGAATAGTCGCCGGAATTAACTGCGGGCCGGTGAACAGTCACCGGAGTAGTCGTCGGTCACCTGATTAGTCGCTGGAGCAGTAGCGGTGGTGGAGTTGGGGTGGGGTGGGTTAATTATATTATATTACAGTTAAATATTTAATTTAATATAATAATTGTAAAATATAATTAATTAATTCATGAAAAAATCTGATTTTTGCAATTCTAAAACTTGGGGCCTAATTTTTGATTTCATGATAGATAATACCTTATCCATGAATTTTTCCCATAATTTAATATGAAAAATTCATGAGTAAGAGTTTAACGACAAGGATAA